CACTGTGAACTTCATTTTGTGCAACCATGTTAACAACTCTGGGTCAAGAGGACTTGACCGCCTCCAGCTCTGACGAGGGGTTCTTTCTACCCTCCTCTCTAGCCAGGGGTCGCCCAGGCCTGCTGACTCCTGGGAGCCGAGTTCACATCAATTCCCTTGAGGGCATTTCCAGTACACAGCGTTACTTAGCCCATGTGGGCCTCTGCCAGTCTGCTGGAATGGTCTCATTCTCCTCCCATGTCTCATGTGCCAGTGAAGCCCAAGGCATGGGTGCTAGTCATATCATAAAGATGGGGAGATGTCAGTGGATTATTACAAAACCAAAACTCACTAAGTTTGTTGTTGTAGATAACATTTTTTATGCTTATTATTTGTTCCTTTCCAAAATACAATTCTTCCCATAGACTCATGCTGATTAGACTGCACTCCCTGCATAAGCATTGCAAGGAGTGGCTGACTAGGGAGGCTGAGGCAGGAAGGTGTCTTTGAGTTTGAGGCCAGCCCGTGCTACTACATAGTAAATTTAAGAGCAGCCTAAACTATATGGTGAGACCTTGACTCAAAAAAGCAAAAAGAGGAAGAAGAGTAGCTGAGTCAGAGCGGTCTTGGGTGCTGGCTAGCCTCAGAAATACAGCATGCTGGCTGCTGGGCAGTCAGGAAGGCCAGCAAGGCACAGGTAATACGGAACGTAAAGGCTGCCGGCCAGAAGTCGGGCGCTTGTTCTCTTCTTACATCTCAAGTCCAACACAGTTTATTAACATGCGCAATTCAAAGAGTTATCAGAGGCGCTCCCTTCTGCATGCCCCACTCTGCGCAAGTGGTCCTCTCTTGGCTAGGCCAGTCTCCTGATGGCTGTCACTGTGCTGCACTGTCACTGCTTCCTCCTTCTCACACTGTGAGCTCCTTGCACCTCCCATTTTCAGTTATTTGGTTTTCAAGGGACCACTGGCAGGAACTGCCATTTCTATCAACAGCTTGAGGGCAGCTGCTGCGTTTGTGGCAGTCATGTCTCTTGATTGCCAGAGTCTGGGCTCTTTTGTTTTTCTTCTTCCTCTCTCCATCTCTGTCTCTGTCTCCATCTCTGTCACTCAAGGAAAACTGGAAGAAAGAGGGTAATGCTTTGGTGCAAAAAAGGCTTTGGGGACTTTCCAGGCAAGCAATTTTATTGGCAGCAGCTGGGGGCCCAGCAGCACTATGATTCTGCTAAAGCTGTGCAAGTGTAACACACAGAACAGACGCCCGTGTTTCCTAACTGACCAAAAGGCAGGAATTCATGGCAAGTATGAAAACAACATAATATTGTTCAACAAGCACTTGCTAAGTACCTATAGTGCCTCCTCTGGGGGCTGCTGGGATACCGTGGAGAGCAAGGCAGGATTTCCCAAGGAGGCTCAGAGTTGTTAACCGAATCCACGTTTTGGCACACCCTGCAGGCCCGCATCAGTGAAGGGCACCACCTTCACAGGCACACAGCCCTGTGCCTGAAAATTGTGCTGCTCTTTGCCATGGCTCTGCATGCTGGAGTTGTCATTTGCCTGCAGAGGGTGATTTTGGAGGCAGGATGGTGGGCCTGAGAGTGAGAGTTCACCACTGCCCAGGCTTCTCTTCTTCTAGATCCTGTGTCTGGCCACCTTCGTTCAGGTGCAGTTGTGTGATTGAGTTCTGGTGGAAAGGGGAAGGGCTGAAAGTGGGGAGCCCTGCCCCCCAGCCTGGTTCCCAGACCCTTATCCTCTGCCTTCCTGCTTTGTTACATACATGCAGGGCTGAGGAGTGGGGTGGAGGAGAGCAAATATAAGCCTGAGCCTAAGGAAACACTGAATTGAAAGAGATCCCTTCCCAGAGATGTTGCGTTTCATTTACCTTGGTTTAAACAAAGTTCAAATACCTTTTATGAGCTTAGGCCACAGTGGTCACCAAAACATTATTAGATACTTGTCCCTCTCCTCGAAGAAGTGGTAACTCATTTAGGCCTAGAACAGATCTCTGCCTTTGGGGAAAAAAAGTAGATATTGTGTGTGTGAAGGGAGTGATGTAGGTGGGGGTGAAAGGTCTTAGTAGTCAGAAGAGGAATTCATCTAAGGAAACCCTACCACTGACTCTGAAGCATTGCGTATCACTGATTAAAAGAACAACCAACCACACAGTGGTACATTAGGTGCACCAGTAGCCCAGCAATACCAAATGGGATGGAATTAAGACTGTCTCATTGGTAACCAACATTTTGAGGCAATAAATTTCAAAACAGCAGAACAATATTGTAGTTTAATTCTTCCATGCTGTGCCAAGAAAGAGAAAATGTTTCCCACTAACACACATGAGTTTGGAGATTAAGCAAGTGGACTTCTGGGCTGGAGAGAAAGCTCAGTAGTCTAAGTGCCTGCCTGGCAAGCGCAAGCACCCAGTTTCGATCCCTGGTACCACATGCTGTGCTGGCCCCGGCACCATGCTGACCACCAAAACCGAGCATGGAGGCACACACCTGTGATCCCAGCACTGGGGAGGCTGAGACAGGAGGATCACTGTGAATCTGAACTGTGTAGTGAGACCCTGTACCAAATAAATAAAATGTTAAAAATAATTTTTAAAACATGGACTTCTTAGTCTACAGCCTCTTAAAGATTCTTCAAATTATGCAGTTAGAAAGAACTGCTTGCTTCTGAAAATTGGTCTGCAAGATTTAAACAAAGACTTGAGAGGCTGCTTAGCCCAGCCAGACTTGGTGGGGACCTGGAGGTCTGAAACACCTCTCTGAGCACTAGAACAGTCAGGCTGACCCAGTGTACTTTCCTTTTGATCAACCTTACATTTGACTGTATTTTAGTAAATTATCCATGTAGTTGTATTTTGACAGCTCTCTTTACAGCAGTAAAACAAAATGTGTGCATCGCAAATGGCAAAGATTCAAATTTCAGCTATGTTTATCCAAAATAGCACTGAACTGCTTCTGTACTTATGCTATACTGCCTACAGCTTTACGGAAGGGAAGACAGATGGGCTGAATTTAGCAGGGAAACAGCTGTGGCTTGAAGAAGAGACAAGCGAAAGTTTTGCTATCAGGCTCCATTATGTATCAAGGTACCAGTAAAATGTGTATCCGTAAGGCAGCCAAAAAAGTGCTTTTCATCTCACTAGTGATAATTACCTTTTCTCAACAGCTGACAATGTTCTAAGTAGCATTAAGTAGGTATAATAATTAAGCAATAAGACACAACAGGCAGCGGCTTGCCGAGAACGGTGCTCCCTTCAGGTGTGCTGGGAGGCACAGGCTAAGAGGCCACAGACGTGAACTGCTGAGAAACGGATAGGCCCAACACGCTGCTGGCGGGAATCACACAAATAGGAGAAGGGAGAAATCCAAAAAGCTGGAAGTTGGGGACTCTGTGTGACGAGGACATTACTGAAAGTGAAGCAAGCTCCCAAGTGCACTAATTTCATCTCTTTCTTCATAATGACCACATGTTACTTGCATGTTGTCCCCTCCAGTGGAGCCGTAAAACTTTCAGCTTAAGGAAACAGTAACGGGACTTCTTGTCCTGCAAAGCATCTCCGTCCAGGTTTCAGCGGCCAATCTTCCAGACCTGCATTAGCATTCTGAGACTGGAACCACCCAGGTCCCACGGTGGTGAGGGGTGGCCAGTGCTTTGCGAGGCAGGGGCCTTCGGGATGACTCCACGCTTGCAGGTCGCCCTCGGGAAAGGAACAAACACACTGCATGTCCTCTCATGAAGCCTCCCAGGAAAGTAACCTCATGCAGACACTTTGAAATAAGAGACCATCCATTCTGTGCATGTGTACATGGAGGAGGGCAATGCTCTCTGTTAATTACCTTAATTTTTTGCCTGGCTACTCGATAACCAAAAGTAACAACAATAATAAAATGCATGTGCATTATGAGTACCTGCAAAATTGGTCTACTAAATATTCTTTATAAATCTAATATATGCCACACTGGTGAATACAGTAGAATCATGTTTCACTAGATCAATATCATTAATATTGCCATGGTAACAGGAAAAAAAGCAGAGAAAATCTTAAAAATGAACAAAATAAGAGATAAGCTCCCCAGTGTGCTGTGTCGGCCCCACCCCTGGGGCACACTGAGACAGTGACTGAGACTGGGCGTGGTGGTGTGGGCCTGTAATCCCAGTGCTTGGGACGCTGAAAAAACAGGAGGATCACTACGAGTCCGATCTGTCAGTGAGACCCTGTAGACCCTGTACTAAATACATAAAAAAGGCATAAGCAATAAACGCTAGTGTGACTGTGATAGCCATTAGTATGACGTTTTTCTCCAAAGTCCTGAATTACCATAGCACCTTGGGGCGGTCATAAATGAAGGCCTGGGCACCCTCAAAGGTAGTGTGTGATTAGGAACTTACTAGCTTCCTAATGTCTCACTCTCACCTTCCATTCCACTCTTTCAAAAGGTAGCACGTTTGCTTTCATTTTATTGCAAACATTACCCCCACTTAGCCTTTCTATAATACTCTTTCAGTGACTTCTTTCCCCTGCAGTGCCTCCCGGGCCTCAGGCTTGCTTATGACTGTGTGTTAAATTCCAACACAGCCACTGAATTTCTGGGTCCAACTGGACCATATTCATAGAGGACTTAGAACCTGAAAAGTGCAATCAGATAAGGCTATATCAAGTCTACCTTCACCTCTGGGGACTGCCACCTTTCCTTCCTCTGGGCCTCTGTGTCATTAATTATAAATTTGAGTGACCTGGAGAACTATCATAGTGGACAATAATAAATATCACAGCAAACCATCAGTAACTAAGATTTGCTTCTTTTATGGTAGGAAGAAAAAATTTTACTAACTTCCAACTTCTCTTCTTTTTGTTCTTCCTCTCTAAAGATCTGTCTCAAACTAAAGTTAATATATAGCAAATATGAAAATGCTAATATTTTATCATCTTTACCACATGTCAACCAATTATCAGAACACAAAAATTTTACATGTAGGTTAGTGGATATAGCTCAGTGGTAGAGCACTTACCTAGCCTGCTCGAAGACCAGGGTTCCATTTGTAACACTGCAAAAAAGCCCCTAAAACTCCACCCATATAGGGTCTCACACTTAGGATTTGTGTGAGCAAGGCATGTATGCTGGGATACAATTCTGGAATGGATCAAATGGTCTTTGGAAGACAGTAGCAGTCGTTTAGTGGCAGAAAGGCAGTTCAGAGAACACAGAATGGGCACATAAAACAATGTTATAATCAACTGCAACAGGAAGAGCTATAAAAATTTTGCTCTATGGGATCTAACATATTCTTAAGTTTCTTTAGTCAGTACTCCTTCTTCACAGAATTGAGAGAAACACTGCCTGGGTTGGAGTTTGGCATCCATCATGCAATAGCTGTGTGACCCTCAGTCAGTTACTTCATCTCCTGGTACCCAGTTTCCTCACCAATAAAATGGGGCTAATGCTAGCACTTGCCTGATAGGATTGCTATGGGAACAAAATGAGTACAGAAAGCTAAGTGATTTCAACAGTGGTCAGGACCTAGTAAGCACTACTGAGGTTAGTTTTTGCTGGAATAATGATACAATTATGTTTACTATTATAAGGGATGTCGGAAAAATTTTACATGGCAGCAAGAGATGTAATATAGTGTTCAATGCCATCAAACTATGGAAATGGGAGGATTAAGGAAAGGGTCAGGACCCAGAAACCCCTGAAGTTCAAAATAAGAGCAGCCACAGGGGCCTGGGCCAGGAATGTCAAGCTTCTCTTACAGCAAAGCCCTTAAGATCATGTGTGCTGACTAGTCAGGCGTCTTCATGAAGATGCTCCTCAATCAGTGACCTGCTCTGACTTACACCCCAAAGTAAAACTCAACTAGAGCTTTGTCTTGTGGCTGCTCAGCCTTCATTTTGGGAGGTGTTCTGATCTAGGATAATCTTCCCTCCTACAGGGAAGTCTCTGTCCACACCAGGATACTTGATTATATTTCTGACACAGAGAGATAACTTAGGCATGGCAGCTCCGTTTTGTCATCTACTTAGAAAAGAGAAGAGAACACATAACAACAGACTAGCAACAATGTTGTCTCACAGTGTAAGTCAATAAGATCTCTGTCTCTGGGTTTCCTCATACTGTGAACAGGAATAGCCACCCTTGACAACCACTTAGCAGAGGGGTTGGAGGGTGCCAGCTGAAACTTACAAAGCATGTGTGAGGTTGCAATTATGGAAATACAGAAATGAGTTTTCTTTTAAGAATCAATTCAGAGCAGCTTAAATCAACGTATTAAAGATTTCATTCGCTTTACAGAACAAATGAAAAGGTACACCCAGAGACTGTACTTTCACACCACCCATAGCATTACAAACATTACATTTGTGCAAGGACTGTAGTAAGTTAATGAATTGCAGTAAATTCACAAATAATATATTTGAAAAAACTTTTTCTCAAGGCCTGATCCCAGTCAATCATGGGAAGCTGTCATCAATATGGAAACTGTCAGTCCAAACAAAGCAAATACATATTTACTTAAAGAGTGGATTCTTTCCGTATCCTGTCTTTTTAAAAAATGTATTTAGTACAGTGTCTACAGGGTTTCACTACATAGACTGGACTCATAGGGATCCTCCTGTTTTCAGCCTCCCAAGCACTGGTCCCTGCTACCACGCTCAGTCTCAACTGCCCTCTCAGTGTGCCATGGGGGCAGGGCCAGCACGGCATGCCAGAGACCAAACCCCAGTCCCTGCATCTGCCTAAGCGGGCACTTTAATCCACTGAACTATCTGGCTGGCCCCTCTTTCCATATACTTTCTAATAGACTCCTATATTTAAAATTATTATGTCTGAATGATGGATTAAAGAATAATGCGTTGGTTCTAAAACCGATTATTAAACAATGTGGATATTTACATTTTTTTGCTTTTATAACTTTCATTGTTGAGATGATGCTGAGAATGAAATTTCTTTTATGTCTTCAGCATCAACAGAACAAACACATGCTTAATTTGAATATTTTTCCATAAAGAAAACACTATAGAGCAATCAACAAACTAATTGGTATAATGTAGGATATATCTGACCAAAAGAGAATAAAAGTCCATTTCTCCTCACAGAGCACTAATGTTTCTAGCATGTATGATAAATACCTAGCTTCCTCCACCATTTTCCTCTTTGGAAGTACATCACTATATATTCGGTGACAATCTGCTCCTCTAGAATTTGGAATTTGAGTAAGACAGATTTGATTCGTTTTTTTCTCAGAAGAATGCACAAAGAGCCCTAAAAACAAATGTTCTCTATAAGACAGTGTGATGAAGGCATTTAACATTCATTAAAAACAAAGCATCTGCACAAAGGCCTTTAAGCTGAACTCTAGCTTCTTTAGTCCAGTTCTGCAATAGAAAATTAAGTATTTTTGGAATACAAGCCCAAGGAAAAGGACAGCAAGAAAGAAGAGATAAAGATGGAAGATGACCCTCAAAATATAAAAGAAAACCTTCCCACTCCCACACAAAGACAAAATGAACTACTTCTGCATTCCCTTTAAATGCTGGGAATGATCTTCTTTGGCCTAGGTATATTGGTGTAAAAAGAAAAACTAAAAGATTATATTTACATGATAATAATTACATGAAGCACAAATCTCACTCTAATTTCTCTTACCCCGCTTTTTCTTAGGTTGATTCTCCTGCTATAGTTCATCAAATGGTTTTCAGTGATAATAACTGGAGACATACATTTTTTAAAAAATACTGTTTATTTCAATACTATATCCTTAAGTTTTCCACCTGACTTTATTTTAGCAAGTTTGTTAAGCTAATCCACCTGGAGCATTCTAGTGTCCTGTGTTTTCAATATCCCTACCAACCCACTGGCCTAATATGGAACGTCTGCACCGCCCAAGGTAGAATCGAGGAGAGAACATAATGACTCCTCTCACAAAGATCTAATCATGTCCCACTTTAACCAGACAAAGGAGAAAAAGCTGACCACTGTGATAAATTGAGGATAATCCTGGTTCATCCAGTGGATGAAGAGCTGGAAGACAGGAAAACCAAAGAAGGGAGCCTGGACTCTGAGCTTCCTTGGGCCCATGGCACACAGGTCACCCACTTGTCCCAGTTCTTGCTCCAAGAACATGCCTGCCTTGAGTGCAGAGACAACTGTCACCAGTTTACTTGTTTCCCAGGAAATGGGGGACAAATGAGAAACTGCTGGTTTGTCGGGTAACATTATTAAATGTACTTTGCACTTGAAATGTGGCAAATAACACAGGATTCTAATAAACTAACTCCCATTTATAAGCATTGCAAGAGAAACTTACTACAGCAAATTATGTCACTAAGTGAAGAATGACCACTTAACTAATCCATTTGTAAATCTGGATTTAATATATTGGGTTTGTTTAAAGTGAGATATAGTGGCAACAGCTTGGCTTTCTGTCAAACTGAATTTAGTGTCAGACACTTTGAATTATGGTTATTTATTCAATTTCAGAGCCACCAGTCTCCTAGTGTATTCAAGTATGATCAAGATGATAGACATAGAGCAAATACATGTTAAGCAACTAGCCCACTATTTTTATGGTTGGATAAAACAAAACCTAATTTTTTTGTAGGAATTTTTTATTAAAGGTTTAAAAGATTTTCATTCCTTTCAGATGAAATTGTATTCCTTTTTTAAAAAACATATTTATCTTTAAAAATGTGCCATGGGTTTTTCTTCTTTTATAATTTATAACATTTTTATCCTAAGTAGTGTATATAAACTTTGAAATACTGACTTTGGTTATCAAAAGCAAAATGAATAATGCTGTCACAACATTATGTGATAATAGATTTGATTTGCTTCATCAAGCATTTCATTTCCACTGCATCTGAATTCTCTGTGACCACTTGGACCCCCAGTGCAGGGGGTGGTGCATGATTGCGGGTATTGAATCTCAACTTCTCCACTAGATGAAAGGCCTGTCTATTGTGAGGTGAGTGTTGCTCACTTTGTAAGATGCAGTGATGAATAAAAGAATTCTCTAGGAGCTCACAAGCAAGTGGGGACACAGATTTGTCACCAGGAAGATGATGTCAGGTACCAAAAACATGGGTTTTAGATATTTCAGTTACTGGATAATTTAATTTCTCCAAACCTCAATTTGCTCTTTGGGAGTACAAGACTGATATTAGCAGTAATAATAAATAGGTAACATATTGCACTTAGCTGAAGCCAGCTCTTTATTAGTCACTAAAAAATGCTACCTCTTTTCTTACTCATACTTGTTCTAATATTGTATTTGTCAGCTTTTAGTCACTACAACAAAACACCTGAGGTTACTTAAAAAGAGGAAAGGTTAATTTTGGCTCATGGCCTTTGAAGTTTCAGGCTGTGGTTGCCTGCCCCAATTTGAGCCTATGCTTGCAGGAGGAAGTGTGCCATGGCGGGGAACAAGTGGCAGGGCACAATGGCTTCCCTTCTGGTGATCACGAAGCAGAAGAAAAGAAGGGGCTGGAACTCCAATATCCCTCGAGAGGTCACACTGGAGTGACCTAACTGCCGCCCACTATGTCTTGCCTCTTAAATGTTCTGCCAGCTTCCAATAGTGCTACAGACAGGACCGTGCATTAATATCTGGACCTTTGGGAGATCCTTATCCAAACAACAGCACTCCAGGGGCACCACAGCACTGACCAAGATGCACTGGGACCTCAGGGCACGTAGGTTGGTACATCACCTCCCATAAATTCAGGGGAATCAAATACAAAAGGTGCCTCTCTGCCCAGGTACGAACTCTACGACAAGAAAACTCTGAATTTCAGTCTTGTGGAAATCAGTTCCCAGATTCTCTGTTTGGCCTTTGTGTCTCAGAATCACAGTTTCAAAAGCAACACAATACTAATAATCCATCCGGCATAGTATATATGAAAAAAGTATCTATTTCATGTTTTAAAGGTCATTGAATATATAACAGCTAGATAGTTGAAGCAAAATACCATATTCATCAGTGAAACAGAAAAGTTTAGCAGCATTCATCTGTTCTCATTTTAAATTTACCACAGTATGTAAATTAGAGGA